AATTTAATCCCTCATTCATTTTTTTTTTTAAATTCATTATTGCACCTGTTTTGAACATGAATATTTAGACTTTTGGCTTCTGAACTTTTTTCTCATAATTTCTTGCTCAAATCATTTTCTTTTCAATAAGTTTAATAATTAAATCTAAGATTTTTTTATATGTCAAAATAAAATACAGCCTGTTTCCATAAAATTAAAGAATGTTTTTTTTTTTTTTTTTTTTTTTTTTTTGGCGAAATGAAAACAATGTTTGAAAGCGTATGAACTAACCGCAAGAAATGAAAAAAAACAAAAAAACATGCCAATTAAAGAGTTTTCTTCACAGGAGGACATTTTCTGCCCATTCAAATTATATTATCTATAGCTTTTTGCATATTTCTTTTTTTTTTACTGATGTCTTTCTACAAATGTTATATAAAAATAAACTTTGTTGTTATGACTAAAGTTTTCAAAAACAACAAATTTTATTTCAAGATGACATTTGTAGAAAGACACTGATTTGAAAACGAGCATATAATTATAAATTCTTACTCATGCGTATTTCAATCATGTGATTCTATGCTGCCTTTTACCTCTTTTACTACTACTACTACCGACACCAGTCTCTGTTTCACTATGCTCTGTTTTCCATGGTTCACTATCGATGACAGTCTCTGTGTCAGCATGCTCCTTCACTGGTTTACTACAAACACTAGTTTTTAAGATGCCATGAGTCCCCTTGTGTGATTCACTGTTGACACAGCCCTCAGCGATAAAAGGCTCCTTGTTCTCTTTTTCACTACACATGTCCACCTCTGTTACACCATATTCATTGTTCTTTTGTTTAGAGTAAAAGCCAATTTCTTCTTTCTTTATTGTGTCTAAGTGTAGAAGATCCAACTGATATTATTGTTCCTTTCATTTTTGTTTTTATTCATGTCCTTTTTTTTTTTAATAATTATCTATTTTTTTATGTTTTATTATGGAAAGCCGTAGGGTACCCCACATTATTATTATTTTTTTCCTGTATAATTATACCAAAAATAATTATGTCCTCCAAACTTGCTTTTTACAACATTATTATTATTTTCCTGCAACAATTATAATCTTCTCTGTTAAATGTGTACACATTATTATTATTGTGTCCTACAATTATAATGATTCACTTCACAATAATAATCTTGCAAGTCAATGTGGACACATTATTATAATTTTTCGCCTCATTATTATAATCTTGTCAGTCGATGTTTTAAAACATTATTTTTATTTCACCTCAAAATTATAATAATTATTCTTACTTTAAACAATTATAATCTTGTTTGCCCGAGCGAACACATTATTTTTATTTCGCTTCAAATTTATGATAATTATATTCCACATCGATCATACAATTATAATCTGTCTCTCCAACAATAATAATCGCGACCAAAAAAGTTGCAACATTATTATTATTTAGACGCTTGAAATCAAACGTTTGTGTGATTTTGATGTACTGAACAATTATAATCTTGTCAGATTTTCTTTGGGAAAGATTATTATTATTATTTGGACGCTTGAAATAGTAAAGTTTGTCTGCTGAAGACAATCACGTGGTTCAAGGCTATGTGCTTCCCTGGTTAGATATGGCAAGAAATTGGTACTGCGTTTTTTGGTGATACTTTTGTACCCTAGGGTACACCCCTATTAATTGTATGGAGAAAAGGTTACAAAAAGGGTACACTATTTATTCTTACTGAAAACGAAAGTAGATTCTCCACAGTAGTAGGAAGCTTGTATCAAGTTAAAATATAAAAATATGCTGCCTATGCTCAGGGTACAGTGGGTACACAGGGTACACATGGGTACAACAGGTTACAACACTATAAGAAATGGATACAAGGGTTTAGAAGGCTGAAATTTTCTAAGTTAAAATTAAAATAATGGAGCTGATGTTCAGGGTACAGTGGGTACAAAGGGTACACATGGGTACAGCAGGTTACAACACTATAAGAAATGGATACAAGGGTTAAGAAGGCTGAAATTTTCTAAGTTAAAATTAAAAATAATTGAGCTGATGCTCAGGGTACAGTGGGTACAAAGGGTACACATGGGTACAAAGGGTTACAACACTATAAGAAATGGATACAAGGGTTTAGAAGGCTGAAATTTTCTAAGTTAAAATTAAAATAATGGAGCTGATGTTCAGGGTACAGTGGGTACAAAGGATGCTCAGGGTACAGTGGGTACACATGGGTACAGCAGGTTACAACACTATAAGAAATGGATACAAGGGTTAAGAAGGCTGAAATTTTCTAAGTTAAAATTAAAAATAATTGAGCTGATGCTCAGGGTACAGTGGGTACAAAGGGTACACATGGGTACAGCAGGTTACAACACTATAAGAAATGGATACAAGGGTTAAGAAGGCTGAAATTTTCTAAGTTAAAATTAAAAATAATTGAGCTGATGCTCAACACTATAAGAACATGGATACAAGGGTTACAACACTATAAGAAATGGCTGAAATTTTCTAAGTTAAAATTAAAAATAATGGAGCTGATGTTCAGGGTACAGTGGGTACAAAGGGTACACATGGGTACAGCAGGTTACAACACTATAAGAAATGGATACAAGGGTTAAGAAGGCTGAAATTTTCTAAGTTAAAATTAAAAATAATTGAGCTGATGCTCAGGGTACTACAAAGGGTACAATTTTCTATAAGAAATGGATACAAGTTAAAGTTAAAATTAAAAAATATTGAGCTGATGAGTACTACAAAGGGATGCAGGTTACAACACTATAAGAAATGGATACAAGGGTGAAGGCTGAAATTTTCAAGTTAAAATTAAAATAAGGGTACACATACAAAGGGTACACATGGGTACAGCAGGTTACAACACTATAAGAAATGGATACAAGGGTTTAGAAGGCTGAAATTTTCTAAGTTAAAATTAAAATAATGGAGCTGATGTTCAGGGTACAGTGGGTACAAAGGGTACACATGGGTACAGCAGGTTACAACACTATAAGAAATGGATACAAGGGTTAAGAAGGCTGTTAAAATTAAAATAAATTTTCTACAAAGTTAAAATTTAAGAAAATAATAGAAGGCTGAAATTTTCTAAGTTAAAATTAAAAATAATTGAGCTGATGTTCAGGGTACAGTGGGTACAAAGGGTACACATGGGTACAGCAGGTTACAACACTATAAGAAATGGATACAAGGGTTTAGAAGGCTGAAATTTTCTAAGTTAAAATTAAAAATAATTGAGCTGATGCTCAGGGTACAGTGGGTACAAAGGGTACACATGGGTACAAAGGGTTACAACACTATAAGAAATGGATACAAGGTTACAACACTATTAGAAAGAAGGCTGAAATTTTCTAAGTTAAAATTAAAAATAATTGAGCTGATGCTCAGGGTACAGTGGGTACAAAGGGTACACATGGGTACAGCAGGTTACAACACTATAAGAAATGGATACAAGGGCTTAGAAGGCTGGAATTTTCTAAGTTAAAATTTAAAATAATGAAGCGAATGCTAAGGGTACAGTGGGTACAAAGGGTACACATGGGTACAGCAGGTTACAACACTATAAGAAATGGATACAAGGGTTTAGATGGCTGAAATTTTCTAAGTTAAAATTAAAATAATAGAGCTGGTGCCCAGGGTACAGTGGGTACAAAGGGTACACATGGGTACAGCAGGTTACAACACTATAAGAAATGGATACAAGGGTTTAGAAGGCTGAAATTTTCTAAGTTAAAATTAAAATAATGGAGCTGATGTTCAGGGTACAGTGGGTACAAAGGGTACACATGGGTACAGCAGGTTACAAACCTATTAGAAATGGATACAAGGGTTTAGAAGGCTGAAATTTTCTAAGTTAAAATTAAAAATAATTGAGCTGATGCTCAGGGTACAGTGGGTACAAAGGGTACACATGGGTACAGCAGGTTACAACACTATAAGAAATGAATAGAAAGGGTACAGCAGTGTACATTTACATTTTTAAGCTTTGTGATCTAAGACTTTATTGGGTCATTATAGAATCCTATTTAGCAGTGTTATTGGTCCAATATTCATAGAATTAATGTTTTGAATGGGAAACAATCAGCAAAAAAGAACAATACAGACTGTGCTATTTAGTAAACAATATTGAGAATGTTTGCCGGTATCCATTAAATGAAGAAAAAAATTATTTTAATTATTGATACCGTTGCCCAGCTCTTGCCACGTGGAGGCCTTCTCATCAAGAGCCATAATTTTGAATGAAAAATTTAAACCCAAAGTACCTATAGTTATCCTTTAGAAAAAAATTACTTATTAAGGTTCAATAATTCAAATTATTATTCATAGAATTAATGTTTTGAATGGGAAACAATCAGCAAAAAAGAACAATACAGACTGTGCTATTTAGTAAACAATATTGAGAATGTTTGCCGGTATCCATTAAATGAAGAAAAAAATTATTTTAATTATTGATACCGTTGCCCAGCTCTTGCCACGTGGAGGCCTTCTCATCAAGAGCCATAATTTTGAATGAAAAATTTAAACCCAAAGTACCTATAGTTATCCTTTAGAAAAAAATTACTTATTAAGGTTCAATAATTCAAATTGTTTAAAAATGATTAAAAATTATAAATTATTAAAAAATAATGAATTCAGAAAATAAATACTCCTAATTTTTTTTTTATAAAAAATAATTAAGATTTGTAAAAAATTGTTTGGCCAGTAAGAAATTGAAATATGGATATTTAAAAAAAATAAGTAACCAGGAAAAACAGAATAATTGTACAAGAAATGAAGATTTAAATTTCTTAATTTAAAAAAAAAGTTTTTGTCTATTAAAGTACATTTTAAAAAAATGAAAAAAAAATCCTGTAAAGAAAACTGTGTTATTGACCAAGAACATAATAACAAAATACTATTATATCAAGCTCTGAAAAAAAACATGCAATGCAAATTTCCTTACTTTTAAAGTGAAAAATAATTGATAGATTCATAAATGATTTGAATAGGAAAATATGTTTAAATGAACTATACATGCAAAAATAGTAATGAATCTATTAAATAGACTAGTATATTTACATATTTACAAAAGGAATTTCTTACCTTAACATTTGCAAGCTCCACAGTGCCACACCGAGTCGTCCTTCAGCTGGAAATACTCCTTGTTGGTCATGCTGGTGCACTTCCGATGGAACCACTTCCCACAGGAGTCACACCCAATCCAATGCAAGTACTTGCTGCCCACTCTCTTGCATTTGAAGCACGTCTCTGTCTGGAAGTAATAATAATATAAGTATGTCAGTAGAAAACACCAATAACATTCTTTGATTTATAAGAACATTTTGATAGTCAGTCACAGAATAAAATTTTTAAGTATGATATACCTCTGATTGGGATTTCCGGACTGGAAAGGGTAGCTGAGGGGATGGCTTGCAGGGTGGGATTGCTGTAATTTAGATTTAATTGTAATAAATGTTGTCTAGTAAATAGAAAACATGATTAATATCATCTAATCATAAGCAAGATGTGTATTATATTTTACCATCACAAGTTGTTGAAACTGGTGGGCTGATGTCTTGTTCCTCTGTTGCCTGTACAGCTGGAAGGTCTAAAATAGTTGTTACTTTCTTTATTGAATTTGTAAATTTGGAATTAGGAGATTCTGAATCAGAAATAAAGAATTGAAATGGTACCTGCAGGTGTATCTGGCACACTCGGGGAAGATACCTCCATCTCATCGTCTTTGTGCGCTGGTGCTGGTGCAATTGGTAGGACTGCAATGAATTTTACCATGCTTTTAGTCATATCTGTATATATTTATGTATAATATAAATGATCATATAGCTTTCCTAGCTACCAAATTACTGGTATTTAATTTACATTATTTTTCTGTTTGATGGGTAAATTGCTAAAACATGTATGGTACCTGTGGGGGACTCTGGTAAAGAGGCCAAGGACTGAAGGGATTCAGTGGCAGAAGGGGTCGCCGATTCCTGTTCCATTTCTTCCTCTGCCTCATGAGCTGGTAGACCAGTTGGAGCTGCAATTATTTTTTATAGAATAATTAATCCACTGTTAATCCACTGTGATAAAATCTCAGCAAATGAGATCATTATGCATTTAAAATTGTAAAAGCTTAACTCTCTAAGTAATATGTTTTTTTTTTCTCTAAGTAATTTTTTTTTATGTTTGTAATTTAAACTAACATTTAACATTTAAAATGAAATAGGGATAATTTTTGAGTAAGCATATTACCAATGGCAGACGGTTCATCTCTGGTCTCTGCTTGGGGGGATGATGGATCTTTGGAAGCTGTAATGAATGGGAGTTTGTTATGGACAATTGTGGTGTTGTCATTCATGGTTTTATCTTATATTTATATATAAGAGGGAAAAGACGTTCTGAGAGAGAGTTGATTCTTTTATGTGTTTCTGAACTTTGTATAGAAAATAGGACCCCGTTTTGCATCACAGGGTGTTTTTGAATTTCTTGTCAACAAATCTTTTATAATTTTGATGAAAAATTGTACCTGCAGAAGTGGTCACTTCCATTTCTTCTGTGTCATCATCTGCAATCGGGGTGGGCACATCCATCTCTTCTGCATCTTCTGAATCTGAAACAAATTCATTCCGGAATAAGTTTTTAAAGAGTTTTTGTACTAATTCTTAGGCATCTTAGGGATATTAATAGAATCAGGCTAGTTGCAAATTATTTGATTTTGGCTGTAAAGCATCCTTTGATTTGGATGAAAAAATTAATCTAAATTGTATAACCTGTAAATCTGTATAACCTAGTCACAACGACTTAGTATGTCCACTTTATTATTGGTCCACTTAATGACATTACATGTATGTTTAAAATATGGACAATTTGAAGACATTTTAAAGTGAGAAATTGTCTTGTTTTATATTCTTAATAATTTAAAATTAAATGATATGCAACCCAAATTATACTGCTATAACTTGGTTTGTTATAATTTGAGTTGCTTTGCCCTACCTTCGCTTAGTATGGCAGCTGCCACGGTCTTCCACTGCATGGTTGACAAGACCTGCTTGGGAATGTAAATACACTTCTTTGGCCGCCCATTCAGTCTCACACTGTGGTTCGTTTTCCCCCCAAGCTTGACCACTTCCGCCCTCACGGGTTTCTGCTTCACCTGGTCTGCCCTCACTGCAACGTGGTCACCCACGATCGTTGCCATTTGATCCTCATGCTGAAAAGTCAGATTAAAGTGTAGAATGACACAAATAAGAATAACCCCCCAAAAAACTTGTCATAGGAAACATTAAACCTGTGAGTAAAGATCACTGTTATCTTCACCCTCTTTAATACCCTCTTTAATAAAGAATTTTTGTTATATTTTCTCTGTTATTGAAGAACACTATTCTTAATATAAGAGGAGATTCTATTTCAAAAAAAACATTTAACTGCAGCTTTTTACAAATATTTTGTCGAACATATACCTGGGAGTTACACACTTCCAAAATTGCAGAGAACGCCGAATCCCCCAATGTCCGGGTTCCTGCCCTGGTGACCTCTGCACAGGCTGGCATCAGGCTCTCCTGGTAATATGGTATCAGGACCACTTTGATGTAATTGATGACGGTCTGCATCAGATCATACCGACGAGCAGCATTCAGGAACTAAAACAATTATTTAAAGATACAAAAAATTATATAAAAATAAGGAAAGGATAGCTAATATAGTCAATTAAAGTCTATATATTCTTTTACTGTGTTCCATTTACAGTTACTTGTAATAAATGATAATTTTTAAAACAAATCATACCATCCTTGCCAGGGCCATTGGCAGGGCAATGCCTTCCAGGATCCTGATGTCCATCTTCAGTGTAGGCCGCAGGTTCTCCACTTCTTTGTTTACTTCTGCTGCTGTCAGTGAGTTCAGATGGCACAGAACCACAGGTAGCGCTGAAGAGGCATCCCTAGCAGCATCCTCCAGGGCTTTGGCATCCCCAGTCTTCTTTTGGTGGCTTGTCTTTTCAATCTTCATGACGAACAATCTGCTGAAGTACCTAAAGTGTACAAACATTAAATTAAAACTTATATTCAGTTAACTGACTGTAAAGAAGTTCTATTCTCAATGTCATGAATTTTCATATGTAAAATACTTTTTTTTTACAATTAATAATCATTTAGGATAGTAGAGTCAAATCCTAATCTCACGTTAATTATGCCAATGTCATCCTTATCTCATGTTATGCCAATGTCATTGGTATCGAATCATGAAAATCTTATTCCTTTAAACTAAAAATATTAACTTTCTACAAGGCCCTTTATTAAACTTCAAAGACTTTAAATCATATCAAATGCATAGAATGATATTTGCTTCATGCCTTTCATTTATTTCAAGCAGCATGATGATGGTTCTTAAACATTTTCTGGTGTTATCCTTGATGACTAATGATCAGAATAAGCCTTTAGAAATTAAGTTGAATATGAAATGAATATAAACTTAAATCCTTACTTAAATGCTGCACTTAAATCAAAGTTTGCTGTCACAAGACAACCAGTTAAGGGCTTCCTGGTTTCGTCATTGGCCTTCCCTCGCACCTGAAAATGAAAATGAAATAAATTAACAATTTTATACAGATGGCAGGCATTTGTAAATAGTTTTTTATTTTATTTTGTATGGAATAGGAGAAAACTTTTTATTATTCTATTTTGTATGGAATAGGAGAAAAGTGACACTTGTTTTACAGCATTTGTATGGTGAATAGAACAAAATTACTGGTAACTTTTAATTGGATACAACTGAGACTTCTTGTACATCATCTGTAAAGTGCAAAGAATAGAAATTACTTACAGCTCCATTGCCAAGATCAATGGCCAACTGGGACACCTCATCAGTGGAAGTGGGATCATCCCACACAAAGGGCAGACTACTTGATGTTAGCCAGGATGTAACAAATGCCAATGTACATCTGCCAGGAACAAGAACAAATATATAGATAAAATATATGTCTTCACTTCACAAAGGAAAATGGATGAAAATTCTGTTTTGTCTTAACAAATTGTGAAAAGGAATAAAATTTTGTTTTCACTTATCAAAGGAAAATGGACAAAAGTTTGTTAACCAAGTACATGAACCTTTAATCTTGTATTTTCAATTTGGATTTGTTTTCTGTTCAGAGAGCACTGAATGTAGCAAAATTATAAATACCTTGAAGCAATATGCAGCTCACTGCATCCATTCAGCCAGGCTGCACACTGGGCAATCAAAGTCTTTCCTGCTGTAGGAGGGCCATACAGGACTGGAAGGTTGAAATGCCGGAGTTCCTCCATCCACTTGGTGTACAGGTTTAGTCCATACATCGAGGCCCAGGAGAGGATTGCTGGCCCTATGTTCTCGTGCAGAATGTCTTCAGCCTTGCCCAGGAACTCGTGCAGAGCTTCTACGCCAGTGGGGACCTGGATTAGGTGGGCAAGATCCAGCTTGGGGCCCTTCAGCTGGCAGAGGTCACCTCTCAGCCATATGAGACCACAGTCCATGGGATGAATCTGAAAAAAAAGTATTCTGTTACTATTGTTCAAGTATTGAAATAAGAAAATCCACACTTTTAATAATACTTAGTTTATTAAGTTATTTAATTTTTTAATTTATTTAATTTTTGTTTGTGGGTATGAGATGTTTTGTACTCTAAGCCAAGCCTCAGAAAAATTTAAACATCTAAATTACATAAAAAGTGAAAATATAATTTTACCAAAGACCCTGTTGCAAGGTCAAGAATCTGGGTGGGGCTAAGGAATATCATGGATGTTCCTTCCTGTCTTCCGGCATTGGCAACCATCTTCCTTCTGTAGGTGACAGACTGGGTCCTCTTCCTCGCCTCTAAGGCCAGATGTGCAACCAGCTGCAGGAGCTCGGACTGCTTGAAATGGCAGAGGAGAGTGCCGATACGGAAAGTCCTGTTCAAAGCCGTCTGGAAGTCCTTAGGATTGTGTAGATCCCCTGCCTTGAAGAACGCTTCCCTAAATTTTCAAAATTTACACCATTATATTTTAAAATATTGACATTTCAGTCTGATTAATGGCAATTTTTAACCTTAGTTAAAGAAATTTTACAAAATTGTGTACCTTTTCCTATGACTTAATTGTTTTTATTTGAATTGAAGTGAAATATTCCTCTGCTTCATATACAATGTATCATTTTTTTTTTTCAAACTTGTTTTTCCTCAATTTCAAAAGCAGGTTTAATTGGATAATAATTTTGCATTTATTCAGATATGAACATCACGTGTAATCAAGATATGAAGTTAAAATATGGTGAATTGATACAGGATAAATGATTTTTATTAGCTGAACATCAAAATTAAAGAGGTATATATTGAAAATAACATTTACAAGAAAATGTAATGATTAAAGCTTAGCTTTTTGAATCACTGTGCTTGTAAAATAAATTGCATCCATTTACAAAAGTTAGCTTTCAATTTTAAGGAATTGGTATTCTTCAAAATATAGTTTTATTAACACAAATATTAGCACAATTTGATTATAATAATCGTGCAACTTAAATGTCTGTGTTAAGAGAAATATTTCATTGTTACAATTTAAAAGAACCAGATATAAATGTTAGATATAGGCAAATTATTGATAAATATGTTGGCAGTCTAAAATATTTATAACATATTGGCCTAGTTCATATTTGAATGAGCTAGTTGACTTATAATGGTCATCAGTGTAAAATTTTAGTAGGACGGTTCCTTTTTAGCTCACCTGAGCTTTTCTGCTCAGCTCAGGTAAGCTTTTCTGATCACATTATGCCCGGCGTCCGTCTGTCTGTCTAGCTGTCTGTCAGTCTGTCTATAAACTTTTCACATTTTTGACTTCTTTTCAAGAACAATCAGAAGTTAGCACAGTTCGAACCCAATCTTAATTAAGCGATTATGAAAAATATTCAAAATGCCATAATTCTGTCAAAAATCAATGAAGCGATGCGAAATTCAAACTTGATCTCTAACTCATTAAGATACACTCACATACCAAAATTCAGTTCATTATCTGCAAGCGTTTAGAAAAAAAGTGTGGAAAACGAAATGGGTCAGACTGACGGAGACAGACAGACGGATGCAAAGGAAACCTAAAGTCCCTTTGGTTTCACCGATGGGGGACTAAAATTATTCTTTTCCAGAACCAGTATGCATGGAAAAATGAAACTTATGGGGAAACATTAATTCTTAGGTAGTGTAGATTCAAGTTTGTTTAAATCATAACCCCCTGGAGTAGGAGGGACCAAATTGGCCAAGATGGCCGACCTAGGTTGTACATAAAAATATATAGGAAAATTCTTTAAAAATATTCTTCTCAAGAATAACAAAGCCATAATTCATAATATTTATATGGAAGCATGCACAGGTTGTGTAGATTCAATTTTTTTCAAATCATGACCCCAATGATATATATATATATATATCGGTATATCATTTTCTAAAAAATTGCAAATCCATGATTGGTTTACTTTTGGATTTAAACTTAAAGTTAACAATACAAAAACCATTTTCTTCTTTTCCCAACCCTTAGTGCTCAGGTGAAGGATGTGGCCCATGGGCCTCTTGTTTTATATAGAATTTATTTTTTGAAGAGTTGTCACCCTTGTTGTAGGGATATAAATGAACCCTTGAAAAGAATTGATTTAGAATCCATAAGTTGTTCAGTATTTTATCAAGTAGCAAAAATAAAAATACTCACCCTTTCTGCCCATTGTCTGTTGTGACATCCACCACATAAATGGAATCTTGTGGGTGGGCGACCTCATACAAGATGCTGAACACGAAATTGGATCTCATGTGCCATCTTTTTCCAACCTTCACATGCCACTGCCCATCAGTTATTTTGATGTTTTCCATAATTTTCTGGAAATTGCGTTGTGTAATCTGAAAACAATTGAAAAGGGTCAGTTCATGGTTTAGGTGGATTGTTTTATGGATTTTTTATCTGAAATACTGGTCAATATCTCCATGTATTTTCATTCTTAAGCAAATGGTCCTGGAAGATCTTCCAATCGTGTAAAGATATTGTATATGTTTTATCCAAAATTTTTATTAAATACGAAGGATATTGTGGACAAAGTGTTTTTCTAGGAAAACATTGGGCGCTCTATGCAAATAAAAAATTCATTGAATGTATATTTTTATGCCCCATTACACGTAAATTCTTGGGTAAATAGTTTTTTTTCGGGTCCATCCATCTGTCTAAGCTGTCTTTCTGTTTCTCTGTTTGTGCACAAAAACTTTAACCTTGCTCATAACTTTTGATTTAGTGGAGCTATAACTTTCATATTTGACATGCGTATTCCTTAAGACAAGACCTTTCTCTGGGTACCGGCAAATTTGACCTTTTGAGTTTGAACCACTTCTACTCAAAATTTCCAAACTTTAACTTTGGCCATATCTTTTATCATAGCAGATACCAGGACATTTATACTTCACATGTGTATTCTTAGTTGAA